ATTGAATTAGTTTCTTATAACGGATATGTTGTTCGATTTTAAGATATCGTAGTATTTTTTAAATTATCTATTTCTAGTAATTATTATCTTATATTATCTATTAATTAAAGAAGTGAAATATATATAAAGATTTGTATTGATTATTAAATATTATTATTGAATAATTAATATTTTATTTTGTATATTTTATATATTTTTGTATATTACAAATTATATACGTATAGGCGAAACAAATATCTCGAAAATCGATTAAATTAAATTTCGATTTAATTTAGAACTCAAAATTTTGAATACCAAATATCATTGTACGAATAAATTATCTTGAGATATCAAGTTCATTAAAGAGAACATTATATGGTCTCGCGTAGACTTAGATTTATTAAATCCTTTAGATTCAGTGACAAATTGCTGTTGTTGATATCTACTATTAGATTCGGATATCCACCCACGCAAATGATATCATTTTCAGGTATTTCGAATAATAAAAGTCGAAACACAACAAAGCGTGTAGGCAGCAGAAAAGAAAAGTTTTTGACGAGCTTGATAGCTTAACTTGTTTGACAAATTGTCCGTCAAATTTTATTAAAACAAAAAAACAAAAAGCGATTCTCCACTAATTTTAATTTTCTCAGGGACAAATTTTTTTTTTACTTCTCTTAGATATTATAATCATTTAAAATTAGAGTATCATTATTATTCATTTTACTGCATTATTACTCTCTTAATATCGAATTACTAAATATATACATAGAATTTTCTTAAACGTTTCTGAAAAACATCTTCTAATATTCTTTAGCAAACGAATTGTGGAAAGGCGATTATGTGAATACGATCTTCCATTCGAAAAAAGTGTTGCGCGACATTTTCATGGACAGACACGGTGCTATCGAGCGTACCTCGACAATCGTCTTGGAAGTCTCGTAGCCCGCGATACCCTCAAAAACGACGCGTATATACCGGTTCCAGGGAGCGTGATTGGAAGTACCTACGGCGCAGCCGGCACAACCCCATCCCCGCGATAAGGTAGCGCGATGTCTCTCGCGGAGGGCAAATAAAAGGGGGCGAGTGTAATCGAAAGAGAAGAAAAGGGCAAGGGTGGAAAAAAAGAGAGAGAGAAAGAGAGGCGGGGGGGAGGAAGGGAGCACACGGACAGAGTTATCGCGTTCCGTCTGGGCCACGTCGCGGCGAAGTCGATTTGTAAGGGGAAGAGGGTGAGGGAAGGGCGAACGTGGTATATAGGGTGGGGGAGGTGGATGGAGAGAACTCGAAGAAAAAGTAAAACGAGTAAAGGAAGAGGAACGAGACGAAGTGGTGGACGAAGGAGAGCGTGGAATAAAGAGGCAGGGAGAGAGAGGGTTAAAAGACGAAAGGCGAAGAGGAGGAAGAAGAACAAGCAGAAGCTGTCGGCGGAGGTGGAGGTTGCTCTGCACCGGTCGGTGCAGCGTCTCGAC